CATACATTAAGAATGAAATCTCTGTAGGAAAAAAAAATTGATTAAGTTGCATCTTCCAGACTAGTGATTTAAATCATAATCAAATGCACTCTAGTTGGAGCTCTAGTTAATCCATTTAAAATGCATACTATTAAACATTTATTAAGTGTCTGTTTACAGTAAAAAATTTCAAGGTATAGCTCTTTTTCCTGAGTTCCTAGTAAAAGCAAAACTATAACATATGGGGAAAAAATTTAAAAAAAGAACTGACCAATGCAAATGTAGTGTAACAGATAACTACATCATGATTGCTCTCATTTCTAGTCCTTAATGGAGCAACAAGAAGGTATTTTTGTCTGAAGAAGAGCGTTAGAAAATGACCACCAATTAAGACTAGAGAATTAGGTAGATTTTTGAGACGGAAAAAGGGGAAGAGGTTTGCTTTAAAAGATAGCAGACAAAGAAAGAAATAGTACCTTACATAAAAGCAATAATCTGGGACACATTTTATTCTGGGTCCCCAACTAAATTTAGGGACAAGGATCAAATCTCTTGACAGCTGAACTCAATCATTGGTTAGCAACATAAACCCAAATGAGGTTGGGTCACTCTGTCTTAAAAGGCCCAGAGAAATCCAGTGTGTCCTTTGAGGAAAGACTCATTAACTGCAGAAAGAATAAACAGCCTGGTGCCTCAAATGCAATTCAAACTGTGACTTTTAGCACTTCACCAGAGCAAAGGGCTGATGAATCATTCAATAGCGCTTAAGCTATTGCTAACCCAACAGCATCATGCTAATGACTTCTCATGTTGGACAACTGATTGCCAAACTTATCCTCAACACTGCCTCAAGTTGGCAAGAATCCAAGCAATCATTCTGAGTCAGCTTCCAGGGGCTTATAGGTTGCTAATTAGCTAGATTCTTGCAGAGGTGAGAGGGGAAGCAGCAACGTGGTTGTGAATGTTATTATATAGACAATCTAATCTTCAGGAAAGATTTCAACACCCAAATCAAAATCTCTATTTCTTACAAGTAGAAGGAGAAAGTGATATTAATAAGACAAAAAGGCTATATACAATGAGGGAAAGAACAGAATAAGTCCCATGATTTTAAAAAGTTAAAAGTCTCTTATAAACAGCTGATTAACTAAAAACTTATGGAAAGAGCCCGTGATCAATAGAATGTAAGCTTCTTGAGGGCAGATAATGGTTTGGGTTTTGTTTGTCTTTCTATCCCTCCACATCTAGCATTAAATACTAGAGATGATGGAAGGAAGGAAGGGAGGGATGGAGGAAGAGAGACAGGCAAAGATAGAAATATAGATAGATAAATAGATATAGATATATGATGGATGCATAGATATAGACATACAGATAGATAGATAGACAGACAGATAGATAGATAGATAGACAGACAGATAGACATAAAGAATTTATTGCTTACTATGTATACTAGGTCCTGTGTTAATATCCTAGAATAAAAATACAAGCGAAAAAGACTACTACCCTTGAGGAGCTTACCAATCAAATACACTGGCACATAGTAGGCATTTAATAAATGGTTCTCAGATTTGTTGATCTCAGAAGACCTAGTTTCTGGTCCCACGTTTATGACTTCCTAGTTCTGTGACAGTGTGTAGATCACTTCCCTCTCTGAGCCCATTTCCCTCCCCATCATTTGTAAAATGAAGATAATAATAGCAGTGGTCTTGCCTGTACTTCAAAAAATTATTTGGAGAATGAATGAGATAACGTGCATGAAAGAGCTCAGAAAACTGTGGAGCTCTTCATATATGCAAGATAATGGAAGTACTGTAATTAATATTGTTAGTAGTGTCAAATACATTTCTATAGCCTAGAACTCAACTGAGGAAATCAGGGGAATGGGAGTGGTGGTGGGTGTTGTGAACAGAGAAAAGATGGTTATTTATTTTTTAAACATAAATGAAAGCCATAATACCCTCAGAGCCAAAAATTAAAAGGGTAGCTTTTCAATTCATGTAATTTGTAATTATATACGCATTTTACATTCCAACACTTGGGATGAGAAAGAAAAAATATTATTTATACACACACACAGACACATACACATACACAAATGATGAAAATCTAGCCCCTTCTCACCTAATTATTCCAACACCTTTTTTCCCATTAAAATGACAGAAGATGGAATTTCTTTAAAAAAAAAACACAACAAAATAAATTTTCTTGTGGCTTGATGTAGTTTTATAGATAGAGCTGGCAAGAGGATGGGGCTAGCAAGTGCTGGACATTCCCCTTTATGCTCACCCAAGTCCAGGGTCTTCTACTACAGTAACCTTATAGGCTCTACAACCAAAAAGCAGCTGAAACACATCATCAGGTCTATCCCTGTAGTAGCTTCTGCTAGCGTGGCCAGGAAGTTCACATGTAATAATAGCTGGCATTTATATAGCTTTCCAATATTTGCACAGAGCTTTATAAATATTATCTCATTTTATCCTCACAACAACCCTAAGAGGTAGGTGCTATTATAAGACCCATTTTTCAGATGAGGAAACTGATCTACCCAGGATCATACAGCTAGTAAGTATACCAGGCAAAAACTGAACTCAGTCTTCCTGACTCCAAGGACTCATGGTGCCAGCTTCACCAACAGGCTGCCTGATGTGCTAGACTATTTTTTTCATTTCCAGGGTTCAACTATATTTTCCTCATGTGCTACAAATCAATCATTCATTTATTCAATCAATCAGTCCACAAGAGGTTATTAAACTCTTATCACGTACTAGATACTTTGCTAAACACTTTTACCGAAAAACAGTAAAAATACCGTCCCTGTCCTCAAGGAAGTCATTCTGTTGGAGGAGACAACATGGAAGTAACAATAATAAGACACAGACAGAGTAGACAAAGCACAGTCTTAGAGGGAAGACACCAGAAGCAGTAAGGGGACCGAGGCAGGATTCTTGCAGAAGGTAAGATTTGAGCTGATTGCTAAAAGTAGCCAGAGAAACTTAAGAGATAGAGGTAAGGAGGGAGGACAGTCTAAGCATGGAGGACAGCCAGGTCACAACGCAACTGTGCCCTAACACATCAATGAATAACATACAATAAAATTTGCTTGATTTCAGGCTTCAATGTACTACATAATTATTTTAATCATCTGCTTCATTTTGGCTATGAAAACATAGGTTCATTGATTTATTCTCAGCTAACACGGCCTTAGAGGATATCGAATACAACCCTCTCATTTTATGGATGAGGAAACTGAAGCACAGAGAGGTTGTGACTTACCCAGGGTCACATAGCTAGTGAGCATCTGAAGCAAGATTCAAAATCAAGTCTGCTTGACTCCAATTTCATGATTTTATCCAGTATCGTCTACACCTAGGAAATTGTTACTTGGAATTGGAGGCCAAACCTAAAATTTAAGTATTTCATAGGTATTCCTTTTTGAATATGTTGGTTAGTTCTGCGGAACTGGCATTTCCTCCCTCCATTTTCTTCTTTATTATAAGAGAAGGCAGGAGGAGAGAGAGGCAGAGAAGAAAAGGAGGAATACATTGGGAAATGTTGTTGATATAAAAACAAAAGATGTAAATAAAATTTATTTTTAAAATATATTAACATGAAGTTGCTGTTCGGTGGGCAAAAGATGATACATTATCTACTCCAAAGGTATATACTTTTAGAATACTTCCCCTTAATAAGAATAGAGCCTAGACCTGTGATTTTATTACTACAGGAAGTTCCCAGGTAAAGACGCTAAATTTCCTCTACCAACACAAGTCAGTACTTTCTCTGCAAGTCATATTCATAAAGAGGTGTCCAGAGCACTGAGGTTAAGTGACTTGCCCAAGGTCATACGGCCAGTCTGGACCTGAACTTAAGTCTTCCAGGCAATGAGGCTAGCTGTCCAGTATACTAAGCTACCTCTTACCCTTTCTAATTTAAGTACTAAAATCTCTCCCTTTCATATTTCATTTGTGCTAGTAATATTAATGATTATTATAACACTTAGAATTTAAAGAATGGTCGTCAAAATTCCCTGGGCATCCACTGGGTATAAGATACTGTGTTTTGTTTCAAGGACTTTGTAGAGTACCAAGATGACAAAGCTGACCTTAAGAAACTTACAATCTGGAGGAGATGATCAGTTAGATACGCACTATTATCAGAGGAAAAATTAGATTTATGTATGTGAATATATACATGTTTATACATTTATACTTGACACAGAAAAATACACGAATACAAACACAATACCATGCATCTATGGAAGGCTGAACAGGTTACAATGGAGCCACTATAGTAGAGGAGAGGAATCATACCTGCTCATCTTTAAAAAATGCATTTCTTATAGAAAATTAATTTGAATAGCAAAACTTAAATCATCCGACTTCATACCAATCTATGTATGCAAATACACACACACACACACACACACACACACACACACACACACACGATTAAGACCAGGTTATCTCGGAGCATGCTGAATGTCAGTACTTATTGTTTAAAGCTGTAACAGGCCCATGAAAAATGATAGAAACCAAACAATTGATTCAATATCATTACAGAAAAAAGCACCATGGCAAAAGGAAGAAGTAGGATATGAAATCCATTTGAGAATCCATTTCACACTTCTAATTTAAAGCCAATTCTGCCATAATTTACTTTACTGGGTCCCTATATTTTCATGAGGGTCAAGAGTGCAATCAACAGAGGTGATAATAGTTATTTGCAGCTATCAAAAGATAAAGTGACAGCAGTAACTGAGCCAGTGACTAATAAAAATCCTGGGGCACCCACTGAAAACTGAATTACTAAATCAAAAAGCCCTCTCCCTTAGCCCCCATGTGAATGTTATAACAAAAGCTTTTAACGTATGTCAACTTGGCATCAAATGCATGTTTCCAATTTAACTGAGTTCTGTAAAATGAAGTTGGATTCACTGGTGCATAAACCCATCATTTTGCTTCTCCACGAACATTTATAGAAGGTAAAGCAATCACTTTCGCCTTTATGTTAAAACTTACCACTTTCGTCATCTATGTTAAACCTTCCGAGACCACTGCCATCCCTGATAGAATACTGGATCTCCCCATCCCTTCCAGAATCCTCATCTCTCGCGGTCACCTGCAGCACACTTGTTCCAATACGAGAGTTTTCCTTTACCGATCCAACAACAGCAAAATCTGGGAAATAGGGAGTGTGAAGGTTTTCATTGACATCCACCACTTCCACCTCCACGAAGGAAACAGATGACAACGATACTGGGCGCCCTTTGTCTTTTGCACGGACAGTGAGGTTGTAGAATTGCTGTTTCTCATAATCAAGCTCTCTGCTCAAACGAATGGCACCACTGGCCTTATCAATTTCAAATCTGCCATTGTAGTCATTCACCAAAGAATAACGAACTTGACCTCCCAAGCCAAGGTCTGGATCGTGGGTTTCCAACCATGCAATGACCGTGCCAACCGGAAGATCTTCAAGGACCTTCACGCTGTAGCTAGTAGGTATAAAAGTAGGGGAGCAATCATTGACATCATCCAAGAAAACCTTAAGAGTAACCACAGAAAACTGTTGCTGGCCATTCTCAGATTTGTCCCTGGCCTCTATTTTTAAAGAGTAGTTTGCTTTGGATTCCCGGTCCAGTTGATCAGCTACATAAACTATCCCAGTTGAACTGTTGATGGAAAATTGCTGTGCATCTGTTAATACCGAGTAAGTCACTTCACCATTAGATCCCAAGTCTTTATCCTTGGCTTCAACTTGAATGATCTCAGTACCAATACTTGAACTTTCTAGAATATTAACAGAGTAACTCTCCTGCAAGAAAATGGGCCTGTTGTCATTGGCGTCCTCCACGTTAACAGTCAGTAACCTCCATGAGGATTTCTGGGGCTTCCCTAAATCATAAATTGTAATGTTAAGAAGGTAGAGGTCTGTTTGTTCTCTGTCCATTGGCATCAGAACTTTAAGCTGACCTGTTTCCATGTCAATGTTGAAGCAACTATCTGTATTACCATCAGAGATTGTGAAAACCACCTTTCCATTGAAGCCAGAGTCTGCATCAAAGGCTTTTATTTTCAAGATGTTAGCACCAACTGGCAGGTCCTCCTTGACAGCAATATCAGACGGAAATGATTTGTCAAAATGAGGTCCCTGCCTATTAACAGAATAAAAGTCAAAAAACCCATCTTCCGAATTCAGCTTCCCATTAGCTTTCGCTTTGATGAGGAGTTTCTCTGCTAACTTCTGCGCCACTCGAGTTTCTCTACAACTGAAGCTTTTAGAAGACACCTTTCCCTGTAAGACTGAAATGTTAACAAACATGGCATCTGCAAAATTCTCCCCATCAGTGGCTGTGATCCTGAGGCCAAAGTTACCATTCTTCACACCAGAATTAATCAAGGATTGTTTAAGTTGTAAGACACCTGAGTCAGGATTTAAATAAAAAAAACCAAGTTCATTTCCAGAGATGATTTTGTACTTTACCAGTTCCAGTTCATCAATATCTATTGCTGACACAGCGGTAATGTGTCCCCCAACAGGGAAGTCATATGAAATGACTCCCTGGCAGGCCACTTTTTCAAACAAGGGTTTGTTGTCATTGACATTTCCTATGCGAATGGTCACATTGACCTCACTTTCATGTCGATAAGGTGAACCCCAGTCAGAGGCCCTCACAATGAACCTGTAATTTTCTGGAGAGGATTCAAAATCCAGTTCCTCAGTGGTACAAATAATACCTGTAAACTGGTTAATGGAAAATGGTAATGCACTGAGGCTGGCAATACTGTAAGTGATATACCCATTCTCTCCCTTGTCCTTATCAGAAGCAGAAACGGACAACACGCTTGTACCCACAGGCACACTCTCATTAACAAAAGCTTCATAGGATGACTGCTGGAATTCAGGAGTATGATCATTGGCATCTTCTAAGCTGACGGTGACTTGTGCTTTCAAATCACCTTCTTTGTTTGACACCCCTAGCTCATAAACTTCTTTCTTGATGACATCCAGGGGCTGCGCTGTGACTATTAGACCAGACCTTGGATTAATCTTAAAATACTCTGCATCTTCACCAGGAGATATTCTGTATTCCACCCCTGGTGGCTCTGGGCTCAGTTTAACAATGGCAACCACAACTCCAGGAGGTGAAAATTCACTAACGGTGACATTGTAGGTTTCCTTCTCGAATCTGAAGGGGATGTTATCTCTCTGGGGATTGGCAATATGGACTACTTTTACTGCTGAAAACTTCTGCGGAGAACCCTTGTCCTTTGCTTGAAGAGTGAGATTGTAGCCATAGGGAAAGCCCTGCCAGTCAATTGACTTCCGCTCCTTAATTTTGTACTCATTCATCCATTTCCCTTCCTTCACTAAGACAAACTGTTCCAAAGGATCTCCAGCCACAATGGAAATTGATTCAATCTCTCCATTTGCACCCTCATCTAGGTCATCAACATTAACCACTGCATAAGTGGGTTCCTTGTCCAATGGGAAGGGGGTGTGTGTGACCACACTGATAGTTGGTGCATGTTCATTGATCCGTTCAATATGAACATAAAGCTTTGCTGTGCTGCTGACACCATTGTTACCATAAAGTTTCATTCCCCGGTCCACTGCCAAAACTTCAAGGTCATACCTGTTCTTCTCATCATAGTTTAATCTCCCACTTAGAGAGATTACACCACTTGTAGGGTGAACAGAAAAGAGGTCAACTTTGTTTTTAAAGTAATAGTAGAATTCACCATTAGAACCGATGTCAGCATCGGTAGCTGTTACCTGGGCGATGCTAGTCCTTAAAGGTGTGCTTTCTGCTATTGTAACAGAGTATGTTGTTGGTGAAAACAAAGGTCTCAAATCATTCATATCCAAAACCTGTATATTCACTTTGGTCCATGCTTCTAGATCCTCTCCTCTGACAGAACCTTTTACAATCAATAAATAATTGTCCTGTATTTCTCTATTCAGTATGGCAGAATTCCCACCTTTAGTTCTTATTCTGAGGAAGCAGAAGTCTGCAATGATGACTTCTTCTGCTTTGAAGAAGCCTTCTTCATCCCCAGACACTATTCTGTATTTGATGTCCCAGGAAAGATCTGACAGGATGACACCCATTCTGCTCTGGCTGTTGACGTAGGTCCTTGCTGCTGAGTTCTCATACACTGTAACATTATAAATGGAATGTGTAAAGTGGAAGCCCAGGGGTCCTGTTCCTGGGAGACCTTGGGAGACACTGGCCAAAAGCTTGAGAAGCAGGAGTACGAGGCAGGAGGGAGGAGGTCCTGTGCCCGTACAGCAGCCCATAGTTACATCCATCACATCATTCTTTCATCCTGGGGGGAAAAGACAGAGAAAAATAAATGAATCTAAAAGGAAATCAGCAAGAGGAGAACATCATAGGTGTGTTTGTGTGTATATGTATATGTGTATGTGCTGAGAAGTGATGTGTTTTATTATATGTCCAATACAGTAAAACATGAGTACATATCAAATATTTGGAAATCTAACAAGATTGCAAGTAATTCAAAATATACTAAGTCCATAAAGAGATGCTATGCTACCAGCATTTTACCCCTTCTTTTCTGATTGATAGTGTTTATTTTTAAATAGCAACGTTCATAAGCAATTTAGTACCAAAAAAAGCTCAGTAGAATAATCTATCCGGTCGATATATCTATTCATCCATCCATCAATCCATTTATCCCTAGAAGCAAAAGACCAAAGTATCTAACTCCAAAGGACCTGCAAACATTTCATTCAATAAAACCCATTAGCAAATGGAACTATGTGGGGGTTGGTAAATGAAACATTAGTGATTTAGATGTGCACTTAAGGAATTAACAATGGAACTTCCGACGATCTTGTTAGTCACCACAGAATTTCCACTCCTCAGAGTATGGTGCCTCTACCAAATGGACTTACCAAAAAAGAATCAAAGTTGAAACATGTAAAAATGGTCCACTAGGAAGTTAGTTAACATTTATTAGGTACCTACTACGTGCCAGGCACTGTGCTAAGTGCTGGGGATATAAAGAAAGGCAAAAGATAGCTCCTGCCCTCAAGGAACTAACTATCCAATGGAGGAGACAACATGCAAACAACTATGTACAAACAAACTAAATACATGTTAAAGTAGAGATAATCAAAAGTGAGAATCTATTAGAATTAAGGAGGATAATGAACGAGTTCTTGCAGAAGTTAGGATTTTAGCTAGGATTGGAAGGAAGCCAACCAAGCTGGAAGGCAGAGATGAGGGGGTAGAGAGAGAGAGAGGAAGAGAGAGGGAGGGAGAGGGGGGGAGGCAGAGAGAGACAGAGACAGAGAGAGAGAGGGACAGAGAGAGACAGAGAGAGGGACAGAGAGAGACAGAGACAGAGAAAGATCCCTAGGCATGTGGGACAGTGAAAATGCCTGGAGTTTGGAGGTGGAATGTCTTATTCAAAGAAGGGCAAGGAGGCCCATGTCACTGGTTCACAGATAAAGCAATAAGACATCAGAGCACAGCAAAATTTTCACCTGGAGCATGTGCTCAGCTCAATATTCATGATTGTGACCTCTGACCTGGCCCATCTCCTTCCTGACTTACCTACCACCTGGACCTCCCCTTCTCTGCACTTAGTTCATCTGGCATTAGAAATATGACTCTGGTGCTCACAGACTACAATTCCCAATAACCTTCTCTGACAACCTGACTTGAATGAAGCTCCTCCTCCTCCTCCTGCCGATTACAGAAGGGTGTAATGGAGAAAGTACTAGCCCGAGGGTCAGAGGAAATGGGTTTGAATACTGTTCTCCTCCTTACTGACTTGTGGGCAGCTATGTGGTGTAATTGATAGAGCGCTGGGCCTTAACTTCATGAGTTCAAATCTGGTCTCAGACACTTACTAGCTGTGTGACACTGGGACAATCTCTTAACCCTGTTTGCCTCAGTTTCCTTAATTGCAAAATGATCTGGAGAAGGAAATGGTAAACCACCCTAGTATCTTTACCAAGAAAACTCCCAAATGGGGTCATAAGGAGTCAGAAGCAACTGAACAACAACAACCTTACTGATTGTGATCCTGGGACAAGTCAGTTTTCCCTCTCTCCTCCTCTCTACCCTTAGCACTGTTTCCCCACTTCTAAAATGAAGAGATTAAATTAAATTATTTCTATATGTCCTAGTCTAATTTCGATGATCCTAGGAAAACTGACTTGCTTTCTTATAGACTGTACTCAACTACCCCCCTCTAACAACATGTTCTTTAGCTCCTTCCCTGTCTACCATGATCCCAACTGTGACATTCTGACACAAATCCAGTGAGCTGAACCCCTAAGAATTTCTAGCTTAGGCCTGCTTAGCATACAGAGCTTTAGAATACTTTTACCTCTTTCGTATGCATTTTTTAAATCATTTTTCTATATGTTATCAGTATAATACAAATTTCTACAAAAGTAATTAAGACAACTGGACTCCAGCATCCCAGATTTTTGGGTCCCAGTGGTTGGACATTTTCTCTTAGAAAAATTCATCTTACATTCTCTTCTCTTTACCTCTTCCATTTGGTAAAATTTAGCCCACAGTTCAAGACTTGGGTATTTTATAATAGATCTTTGATCCTACTGTTCAGTCATTTTTCAGTTGTATCTGACTCTTAGTGACCCCATTTGGGGTTTTCTTGGCAGAGATACTGGAGTGGTTTGCCATTCCCTTCTCCAGCTCATTTTATAGATGAGGAAACTGAGGCAAACAAGGTTAAGTGACTCTCCCAGAGTCACATAGCTAGTAAGTATCTGAGGCCAGATTTGAACTCACCAAGATGTGTCTTCCTGACTCCAGGCCCAGCACTTTATCCACCATACCACCTAACTGCCCCTCTTTGATCCCACAACAAGTCATCTTTGCTCTCTCTCCCTTTGTGACTCTTTTCTGTATCCTCCCATAAATCATTCATCCAATGTCCTGCAAGCCTTCCTCTAGAATTTTTGACTTTGTACAGTGAGCCCCAGAGAAGCCCATGGTTTGTCCATCAGCGATTCCTTAACTCGTTAGTTTTTCCCACTCCCTCTACCCTCTTTTTCACAATTCTTATCAAGTTTCAAACTAACCTCTCTTGTTCCAAGCCTGAAAATTCACAGAGGTGGTCTCTAATTTCCTCTACAATGCATTGCTAAGTAGAAGTCTCAAAACAGATTTCAGTAAAGCAAAATCCTGACTGTGCTTGTCCTCTATCTTCACAGCTCACACTCACCTGCCGAGGCAGGTAAAGACAGAAAGAGGTGAAATATAGGTCGTGAATCATCAGCATTGCAAAAGTAGATTCACAAAATGTGAAGTAGGGAAAAGGGATCTGACTCTCGAAACTCATGAGAGCCTTACTTAATTCATTTTAATTTCCTATACAACTGTTGAAACACAACCCATCTGTCCCTATACAATGCTTAAGTTCTCAGTTTTAGAGGTGAGTGTGTGGTGAGCTGAAGCAAAAAGTGAGATTCAGAAAATAAATGTACAATGGCAGCTCCTATCCCTTCTCTGTAGGTTGGGTTGGGGGTGGGGATGCCTGCCAGTTTAGGCAAAGTAAACCTGGTTTACATGTGTGTAGGGCTGTATGGTTTTCAGAATACTTTCATAATCATTATCTCACTGAATTTTTATGATAAACCTGCAAGGCAAACAAGACATTTACCATTCACATTTCACAGGTGAGGATGCTGAGAGGTTAATAGACTTGTTGGTGACATGTGATTGGCAAATAAATGACAGAGCCCAGTTGTTAACTCTTTTTTCTAACTCTAGAGATCTTTTCTGCTCCACCATGCTGTTCCTAGGTTATCCTACCTGATCCTCACAACAGCCCCGTGGAATTGGCTAGGCATATGTCACAGGACCAAAATATCTAGGGTAGGAAGAGATATCAGAGACCATGTAGTCAAATTGCTCTCATTTTATAGATGAGGAAACTGAGGTTTGGAGAGGTTAAATGTTTACTCAGAGTCACAAAGATATAAGTAATAGAGTCAGGATTCAAACTCAGTACCATTTCCAGTATATCACACAGGACTCTTAATTTAAGACATAACAGTTTCTTGGTTATGGGCAACCTCTCCTTCACTTCTATAGCAGTTGTTAATATTACCAGGCTTTTACTAATTAAACAATTTTTGCTTTCTCTCCCATGAGTGGTTGGGGTATTTGGAGTAGTCACATCTAAAAGAAAGGAGGGAATTTTAAGGGTCAATACATGGAATATCTTGAATCCAGGAGAGGTGCAGGGGAGATTGCCTAGAAACACCAAGAGCTGCTACCATTTAAAGGAGACCATTTGGCTATTGTCCAAGCATTTCTAAATCCCTCCATAGCAATGAGAACATTGAAGGGACAGTGTGTCGGGATATGCCTATTCTGGGGAACAGGCTTAGCTGGAACATGTGAAAGACAGAAACCTCTCAAGGATCACACAGAGTAAACCATCTGAGAGAGCTCACTCATGTTCAATTATGTCTCAATGTCATTTCTTTCATCTCTGAAATTGCAAAGTGCTTCTTAAGCAATAGTCACTATTCTCATGTTCATTAACGATAGAGACAAAATGGAGGAGTGGACTCTTTTAAGAGACCTGCCAGTGGTCATGTTACATCAACCCCATATCTCCATAGCCAAAGCAAAGAAAAATAGAGGCAACTCCCTCAGGCAAAATACCACATCTGCTTTTTCTGCATTTCCCTGTTCTTGATCACCATACATATGCTGTGGAGGCCTTGTGAGTCCATGCATGGCTGACCAGTTTCCTGATTCTTTCCCTAGGCGTCTAGACTCCATTGTCCTCACAAAGGAAACTCTTCTCGATGCTGATGTACGTCTGTGAGAAAACGTCAACAAGACTTCACATCTCATAATACCAGATGCTCAATTTCCACTTCCCAACTACAAGTCTCTCTTGGCTTTATGAAATACATGTGTTTTTTTTGTTTTAAGGCTGTGTTCGAGCTGAGCTGTTCTCTCACAGAATTACATCATCATTTCAGCAAGCATTTATCTTCATTTCTGATTGATCTTTAGTGGGCAGTGTTTTCTAACACTTTGACATTATTGCACTCCTTGGTGTCCCCTCTCCCCATCAAGTACTTAATGGATTGTGAGTAAATACTTAAAGGTACTGGGGGAGTTGTTATTACAACAAATCCTTCTGTGAGTTTTTTTTTTAAGCAAAGAATATTCTCATAATATGGCAATATTACTTCCCTGTAGACTATGCTCTAAATAAACTGGCTCAGTCCCTGACCACATCATAGACTTCCTCCATATCTTTGCTCATGCCCAGAATGCCCTTTCA